GCTTCCTCTTTGCTGCTCCATGGTTTCCTTACCTTCTCCCTCTCTGGGCGTTGACAGCTGCACAGGTTCGATTCGTGAGCTTCTGGGAGGTCCAGCGGAAAAATAAACTAACCAACAATGGAGCCCCATAGAGGCATCGTGGGGCCCCTTTTGGCCTGACCACCTGCATGAGCGGGTTTGCCTCCTCCGCGTTCGCCTCCGTCCTTGCATGCTCGGGGGTCGCCCGCATTATTCCCTGTTCCCTCGTGTGCCCTGAAGCTGGAGAAGGAAAGCAGCGTGACCAAGGTTGAAAGTAGCCCGCATAGCAGGCAGTACCAATCGGATGGAGAGGTCCTGCGTTGTATATTGTGCCCGTACGCCAGGCATTCGACACATCGGCGGGGGTGCCCGTCCGTGCGCCAAGTGCTCGCGGAAGAGCTCCCCTGGCACACGGGCAGTCTGCAGGGAAGGGCTAGGCCCGGATTGGAGGCAATGCTCGTCGTGCTGCCCGTTCCCCGCCACTGTTGCGCGGCACGGCCTGGGAAAAACTCTGGCTGCTGCCCTCGTCGTTGCCCGAGCTCTGCGCCACGAAGCACAAGTTGGCGGCGCGTCGTGCGGCCCGCTTCCCCTCAGTGCGCCGCTGCGCGGCCTGAGACGTACTCTGGCTGCTGCCTTCTTCGCCTCCCAGTCCTTGAGCCACGTGGCGCAGAATGGCGACGCGTCGTGATGTCTGTTCAGCGCCGTCGCTGCCTGGCGCGGCCTGAGAAGCACTGTGTCTGCTGCCCGCTTCGCTTCCCGGCCCCTGTGCCAAGAAGCACAGGCATGGCCAAAGGCTTGCGAGGCATGCAAGAGGAAACGCACAAGGCGGACGGAAGGCTGCCTGCGTGTGGCGGGGCGGCCCCGAACAGGGCATTGCCTGGTGTGGTACAGTACCTGTTCTGCCACGCCCGAAGGGACAACTGACGGCGGCGACGACGACGACGGAGACGGTGACGGCGACGACGACGATGATGACGGCGCCGACGACATTGAAGACAGCGGTTGCGGCGGCGACGACGGCTGCGGCGGCGGCGGCGACGGCTACGGCGACGACGACGACGACGACGACGACGACGACGACGACGACGACGACGACGGCGACGGCGACGGCGACGACGGCAAAGATGACGACCGCCCGAGGAGAGCGGGCACTCCCGCTCCGCTGCGGCAAAGCAGACGCCCGCGGGCATGCTGCAGCTTGGCCACCCTTGGTCGTCATCCTTTTTCATCCTCCTCCGTCCATCTCCCTCCTCCTCCTCCATCTCCTCCATCCTTTTTCATCCTCCTCCGTCCATCTCCCTCCTCCTCCTCCATCTCCTCCATCCCTTTCCTCCTCCGTCCTTCTCCTCCTCTTCCTCCTCCTCCTCCTCCTCCTTTTCCTCCTCCTCATCCTCCTCTTCGTCGTCCTCCTCCTCCATCCCCTCCGTAGCCAGTTTGGCTCACGATGTCCGCTTGCCTGCGACAAAGCACGGACACCGCTAGTCCGCGGAAGGCAAGGTTGTTCAGTTTGGTCTTGTTCTTGCCGGCCTCTACCGTGGGAGTTGGGCCCCAAAATTAGCCATATGTTCGTCCCTTTCGCGTACCTCTGTCGGCGTCGGGATGTCAACAGGCAATGGTGGTAAGGTCATCAAGCCGATTGCGAATGGAGAGAAGGTATCACGTCCCCGTCCTCGTTCGAATTGTGCATTTGCCGCTGGCTCTACTGGCGCTGCTGCCTCCTCTGGAGGCCCTTGACGTCGTGACGTCGCCGGTTCGGATGACGACACGTTTGACGAGCACCTCCGTACGATCTGTTCTTCCTTGTTCAAAGACGAGCTCACAGAGTTGCAGAAGCCATTCGATTCGGTGGTGGCTGCGACATGTTCGTCCAAGGTCAAATCCGAGGCGGCTTCGATCACGGTTGGTTTCGTTCGGAACTCCGGTGACTGCTTCAAGCAATCCCCGTCCGACCTCGCGGCTGTTGGCACCACGCTCGGCGATCACATCACCGCGGCGGTGTTTCCAAAGGTGGATGAGCTGCGTCGTGAACTGGCCGCCCGGTTTGTCTCGATCGATGTTCAGCTTCGTGAGCATGCAAGCCTCGTGGGTGCCCAACACGCACTTCTTCGTCAGATGGCCGGTCGGGCTCAGGCTCTGCATCATGTTCTGACCGTCGCCAACATTCAACCTGCGACGCAGAGCTGGATCTTTAACTCTCAGTTCGGCAGGGACGCGGGCGGGGCGTTCATCCGCATCAGTGCTGGTCATTTGCAGATGGTCCGGCTGCGCGGCGCGCCGGCGTGCAGTACTCAGCTTTGCCGGTGCAGGCGGAGCGCGGCGTCAGCTCGGCGCGGCAGCGCGCGCCGACGGCGGCGAAGCTCGCTTGCATCTCTCCGCCGACAAGAACCCTCGTCAAGTAAAGCTCGAGATCCTCGGCCGCAAGACCACCCTGCAGGAGCACTTGCAAGTGCGCGAGGTATATTTTGACCGCGATCGCGGCTGGGTCTCCGCGGGATGGGACGCCCCGTGCAAGATCGAGCCAAATCAAGGCCGCGACAAGGAAAATGACGCGTGAAACCAAGCGACGATTTGGAAGGACAATTTCTCCATGGATGACCTCGTCGCCCAGACGCGCTCGATCTTCGAGCCCGACGCGGAGCCAGAGGGTGTCTTCTACAGATTTCATCGGCCTCTGCCGAGGTCGCCTTTGCAGTGTTTCTGCGGCCTGAGTTCGGTTGGAGGCATTATACTCGCTGCGCGGAATACACGGGCGTTTCTCCAGTACGCAGGGGCTTTCGCACCTGACAAGCTCTTGAATATGCAGTGGCATCGCCTGTGGTCTTCTGTGAGTTCTTCCCCAGAAATGCACCCAGCCGAAGCACACTTGCGACTTGTTCTGAAGCGCGTTCTCCCAGGGGCCCCGATGTCTGCGAGTCTCTGCGGGGGCGACCGCGGGGGCCGCCTCCGAGGGGGCGTCGCCGCTGACGCCCCTGGAGCCGCGTCCAAGGGCCCCCCCCCCTCCCCCGCCCGACGCGCCCCCCGCCTGTTCAAGTGCCGGGCTGCACAGACACCCCTGACAGTTTCATTGAGATTTCTCCTGCTGCCGCCAGTCATTTCTGACAGACGCGCGGATGCACTTGCTGTCGTCGATCGCGCTTGGTGCTCTTAGCCTGGTTGGATGAATGCGCAGGTTTGTTCGTGCGCAGGAGTTGCCGGCAGGCCCGCGGCGCTCTCGAAGGGAAAATTTTGGCGATCGTGCCGCTATGGGTGCTTCTTTTCATCTTCCCCAAGCTGCCTGCGCAAATGGTCGCCCCGCCCCCGGGGGCGCGGTGGAATTAGTGGCGCGCAAATATGTGTTTTAGAAAGTACGTGGAAGCTGAAGAATCTCATCTGGCCCAGGCGCAGAGATCCGCGCGCCCCCGCGGTGTCGGCGCGCGCCCGTGGTCGCGCCACGCGGCGCCAAGACTGCTCGCGTGCTGGACTTTTGCTGAGCTCTCGCGAGATGACCCCCGACGCCATCGAGATCCGCGGCGGCCGAATGAGCCGGCCCCGCCCGGCCTCGTTCAAGCGCCGGCCCGACGAAGTGCAATTCCGAGCTGCTGATCTCGATCGCGCTTCGGTTCAAGCCCGCCTCGAACAGGCCCGGGATACTGGTTCGCGCGCTCGGCTTCGTCAGCAGCTCCAAGCTATCGACCGACGCGGCCGCTCACGGGGGCCCGTTCGCACGTCGGTTGATGCTCGGGGCCGCGGGGGTGGATGGGGCGAGGCTTGGAGATGCTGCCGATCGCGCTTCCGCGCGGGCGTCGCACTGGGGCTCGGTTTTTGCGCGCCGACCGCGGCCCGCCAAAACTGCCGCCCCCTGCGCCGACTGCGCCATCAAACTGCCGCCTTCGAGGGCTGCCCTCCGAGCTGGTTTCCGCCCCCGCCGACCGCGAGCGCGAACGGGGGCCATTTTCGGCGAGGGCCCAGGGGGTCCGAAATGCCAGCATCAAGCTTGCGGCCGCTGGGGTGAACGATTGCGCCCGCCGCCTTCTGGATTGGTGCGTTCCCGGGGGCGAGCGCGGCCGAGGGCGATGGCCCGCTGCTGTTCGCCGCGGATTGCGGGCGCGCCTCTCCCAGTCTGCCCTGGGGGCGCCTGAGGTCAGCACTTGAGGAGATGGGCTGCCCGACGGCGCCAGCTGGTTTGATCCGCATTCGGCGCGGCGCCGCCCAGGGGCGTTTTCTGTCCACGGGGATCTGATGCATGCATTTTGGACCCATTCTGGGCTGCTCATCGGAAACCGAAGCCGGCTACATGCGCCATCGTTGCCGTCTCTGCCCCCCTGGCCCCGGGCCCAAGAGGAAGGTCCATAGCGATTCGGGTGCGTTTATCCCATCCTGGAGCTTCTTAGTTGTTTCGATTCGAAGACAACCTTCCCCCCTCGGGATGCGGGTTGGCCCCGGGGCCTCGAGGGGGGATTCTCGGGGGCAACCGATTGCCAAATATCGCTCGCACTGCGCAGCTCGCGATGCGTGTCAATCTTGAGCTATGAGACGCAGTCCTTGCCATTGCCGCCTGCGCTGGAGCAGACTGAGCTCGGGTGTCTCTCGCGGGCCCCCCAACACCCCCTGGGCCATGTTGCCGCGGCCTATCGGCTTCATCTCCGTGCATTTCATGGGCCGGAAGTGTTTCCCTCGGAGATTATCAGCGCAAGGGCGATGGCAATATTCGTGATTTACACTCTTCCAAGGCATGCTCGAGTCTTCCGCCTGCTGCGCCATCGGAATGATAGTCCAGAGTGCGCGGGGCGAGCTGCCCCTGGCGATGCCCTCTGCAGCTCGGCGCTCGCCGAAGCACCGGATATCTCAATCGCACGCTGACCGCCTGGTTGACGCCTGCCGCGAAACCCTCCTTGAGCTTCGAGCTCGCCCGAGAGGCCGCCAGAGTTTGCAGGCCCCCGACGGGCCCCGCTTGGTTGCCGCAGCCCGCGGAGGGCAGACATGATTCCCGGCGCCGAATGCTGGGGCTCTCGACCCACTGCCGCCCCTCGTAGGAAGCGTCTGTGGATGATTTTCCCGTCTCGCGCCTCAGTGATCTCTCTAGAAGACTTTGAGGTTGCCCGCCAGACTTTGCGCGGCCCCCCTCTCGCGTGCCTGGCCCTGGTTTCGCGCGGCGTCGGGGAGATGGCTGGCCAGCCGCAGACTCTTGCATCGGCGCGGTAAACGTAACTAACTGTGCGCTCGGCTGCGCGCGCGAGCCTGATTGTCTCAGACATTACTTGTGCTGCCCCAGGTTGGCTCGGCCCGTCTTTCTCGCTGGCCGTTCGAGGCCTATCTGTCTTGACCCCCTTTGGTCGTCTTGGAATCCTTGGTTATTGCACCGCCCCCATTATAGAAGAAATGTACGTTGCTTGTCACTGCTGTCAACAGCGCCGCCTCCTGCCTCCCGAGGTCCTCCACTTCCCCTCCACCGCCCATCATGCTTGGCGAGCAGCCGTTCGCTATATTCGGCTACCCGCGCAGGCGGGCCGCGCTGCTGGGTAGCGCGGGACGTCGTCGTCGCACGCTTGCCTACTCCTCCATCCCGCTCCAACCCCGTGCAACATCAGTCATCGCACACGCTGCACCAGGCCAGGTTGTCTGTGTGCCAGTCTTATCCCTCAGTTCTCATGCTCGAATGTGTCAGCGCGCCGGACGGAGTGGAGGAACGCGAGGATGCTCATGGCCTTTCGGCCCTAGCGGACATGTGCAATGAACCATGGTTCCAGTTCGCCAGTTCGCGCTGCAGTTCTGGGTTTACATAGTCGGCCTCCTTGATTTAACTTGCTTGAGCATTGTTCTGAGATCGTTATGCAGAAATGGTTGCCGACGACGTTCCAACTCCCCCTTGTCTTCCTCTCTCTTCGCCTCCTCGGCCCCCGAACGTCGTGCATTTTTGTTGCGCACGGAAGGTTTCTGATGAACTTGCGCCTCCTCCTCCTCCTCTTCTTCCTCTTCCCCCGCGACCCCAACAAACAAATAGGTTATTTTGACGCGCCCCCCCCCCGTCCGCTGGGTTTCCCGGGTGGCCGCGGCCCTGGAATCGTGTCCAGACCACAAGAGGGGTCCGGAACCTTTATGGCCGGATAAAGGTCGGGAGGCGGTAAGAGGGGAAGAAGGAAAACGAGGAGGAGGAGGGGAAGGAGGAGTAACATGGAAAGGACGAAGAGGAAGAGCACAGGAGGTGGAGGAGAAGGAGGAGGGGGAGACGGCCGAGGGGGAGGACATGACGATAATAATTCGACGATGAGGAAATGGAGCAGGAGGAGGAGGAGGGGAAGGAGGAGGAAAAGGGGGAGAGAGAGGTTGGATGAGGAGTAGGAGGAGGCGGAGGAGAAGGAGGAGGAGGAGGAGGAGGAGGAGGAGGAGGGGGGGGAGGAGGAGGGAGGAGGAGGAGGATGGGGGAGGAGGAGGAGGAGGAGGAGGAGGAGGAGGAGGAGGAGGAGGAGGAGGAGGAAGAGGAGGAGGAGGAGGAGGAGGAGGAACACCAGGAAGAGGAGGAGCACGAGGAGGACGGGGAGGAGAAGGAGCAGGATAAGGAGGAAGAGGAAGGAACGAGTAGGAGGAGGAATTTGCGGACGAGGAGGAATCATGACAACAAGAGCACCCCGAATCTTAATAATTCGAGTAATGACAATTTATGTAGTAATCATAGTGGCACTCATGATGATAAGACTAATAATGATGATAACACGAATACTTGCAACAATATTAAAAAATACTATGATTCGGAGCGAGGTTTTGATGTTTCTGGGTCGTTCCGGGGTTCGGGATGCCTGAGGGGTCCGCCTCCTCCTCCTCATCCTCCTCCTCCTCCTCGAACTTCGAGCGGTGATGGGGGATGCTGACGCCTGAATGGCCGTCGTGGCCACGTTTGAACGCAGCTGGACACATGGAACAGGATAGAGTTTGGGAGGGTTCCAGTTGCCCGTTTTGCGTAAATTCTGGTGGGGAGGGGCGGGGCAAGGTGTGTATTTTGTTAGTTGAGCGCATGTCCTAGTCAGACTTGCAGGATAGGGACAAGGAGGAGTGAGAGGTGGAGAGAGAGGAGGACGATGATGATGAGTAGGAGTAGGAGGAGGAGGAGGAGGAGGAGGAGGAGGAGGAGGAGGAGGAGAGGAGGAGGAGGAGGAGGAGGAGGAGGAGGAGGAGGAGGAGGAGGATCATGAGTCGGATGAGGCAGTGTGGGAAGAGGGAGAAAAGAGGAGGAGGAGGAGGAGGTGGGAGGAGGATCAGAAGGCGGAAGAGGACGGAACGAACAGAAGGGGGCGGAGGAGGTACCATTTACACTCGCTGGCAGCAGTTGTCCTTGTAATCCTTCCCCACATCCCCTCTATCCTCCATCCCTCCTTCTCCTTCCTCTCCCACTCTCCTCCATGCTTTTCATCCCTACGTACTTCTCCTCCTCACCGCCATCTTTCCGTTATCCTCCCCTCCCTCCTCCATATTCTTCTTTATTCTTTCTGAGGGGTGGCGAGGACGAGG